TGTTTTGTGTTTATAACTAAGGATTAGAAATACAACACTAAGTTTTCCATAAGTTTTCCTTCAAGTAGCTATAATTAGCTATAAAATTTTACCAGTTATTAAGATTTGCATTTTCTTTGCATGATTTAATTTTCAAAATATTTTGACTTTTTTTGAGATATTTATAGAAATATAGACGACTGAAATTTTTTTTTTGAAGTGTCGATAAAATTTTTTTGGCCCTATCAAAACACTTGAAAATTTAATACACAGTTCCTCACAAGTTATTCTTATAATGATTAAAAAATTATAAGAATACATAGATACAATTTTTTTAAATTATTATTTGAAGTTCAAATATTGACAAAAATTCGTCAAAACCATGAATATTTTTTTTTTGTGTCTGTCATCTCGTTTTGGGGCAGTAAAAGTGCTCCGATTTTTGACTTCAGCACCTTATTCGATCAGAGAGTGAATATAGTTGGTACTTTGGGGGTCAAAAATAAAAAATTCTTAATATTTTTCTAAATAATCGGGATAAACAATCTAAAAGTCAAGGGAAAAACAGGAAATTTTACGTACAATCAGTTTTCGACAAAATCGATTTTGATTTTTGATGTAACTTTAAGACAAATGACCATTGATACATGAAATTTTCACCGAATGTTTATATAAGTATATTCTATCTACAATGAAATTTTCAAAAAATGTTGATTCAAGTTGAACTATTCATAGGTATATGCAATTTCGACCATTAGTAGTTTTTTCAAATTAAAATCGATAAAAATTTATTTTTTGAGTAGAAAATCTTGAAAATTTAATACAAGGCTCTTAACATATTGTTACAATTGCAGTTGAAAAATAAAATAATTCATAGTCACGATTTTTTTTATAAGCATTCAAATTTTGAATTTTGACAAAATACGTAAAMATCGCAAAAATTCGCAAATTGTTTTAAGCTAGAAATTCATGAAAAATGTTCTATTTAAATCTAAGATTTGAAAATTTAATACAAGATTCCTTACAA